TATAATTATTTAATGATATTGTTATAATTCTATTATTCATATCGCAATTATTGTCAAGATCTTCCTTATCTTTAACATCTATGTTAGCAATGATGATATTATTGATTCTATTGATACAGTTATCTTGGGTGGCATATATTTATTAGTACAATTATTTAGTCATATTTTTCACTATTGTTTTGTATCATTTTCACAATTGCTGTGTATTCTCGTTCGCATTATAATAATGAATACATCAGCAGAAGCATTGTTATAATAAGCACTTCCTTCGTGATCATAAGTGCTGCTATTTTTAACTTTCCGTTGTTATATTACCGTTAGTATTGTATTTTTTTTCTTTGATTATTTCTGTTGTTTTCGATATCATCATCACCAATGTTTTAGTAATTATATTATCATTGTGTGTGTGTGTGTGTGTGTGTGTGTGTGTGTGTGTGTGTGTGTGTGTGTGTGTGTGTGTGTGTGTGTGTGTGTGTGTGTGTGTGCACATGTGTGTATGTGTATACGTGTGTGTGTGTGTGTGTGTGTGTGTGTGTGTATGTGTGTGTGTGTGTGTGTGTGTGTGTGTGTGTGTGTGTGTGTGTGTGTGTGCGTGTGTGTGTGTGCGTATGTACGTGTGTACGTGCATGTGTGTGTGTGTGTGTGTGTGTGTATCTACGTGTGTACGTACATATGTGTGTGTGTGTGTGTGTGTGTGTACATGCTTATGTATGTATGGGATGGGGCTGTGTACGTACGTATGTATAGGATGGGGCTGTGTACGTACGTATGTATGTCCTCGTGTCTGTGTGACCGTATATGTATATATGTGTATAAAAATATGTATAGGCACATGCATCCATGCAAATATAAAAAGAAAAAAAAAATAGCCTATAAATTCTTTCCCATCAAGTTTACACCAAGGGTGAGTACACACCTGCAAGGGAACTCGTAACGGGTCCGAACCAGCCCGAACCGGTATTCTTTCACGGTCCGGTTCGGAGCTTCGGAGCTTCAACAAAGCCGGACACAGGATCGCGTTAATAGGCGAGTTCCAGACAACGGCTTCAACATCGAGGGTCATTTTTCCAGGACCTGCCAGGGGAGTTTGTTGTAATACACGTCCCTTTCGCTTTTACTTCTGCCTTCTTTTACCTTTTAAAAAAAAAAAAATCTTCGTAATTTTAATCATCCTGTTCTTTTTTTTCTCGTTATTCATTTAGTTAATAATTATTGATGAAATTGTGTGTGTGTGTGTGTGCGTGTGTGTGTGTGTGTGTGTGTGTGTGTGTGTTTGTTTGTTTGTGTATGTGTGTGTGTATGTGTATGTGTGTGTGTGAACATTTCATTATACCTATTAGTGTTTTTCGTTTATTAGTAATACCTTCTTACAATTAATCTGTATCTCTTTATATATATATAGAGAGAGAGAGTAAGAGTAAGAGTATGCGTGAGAGAGTGAGAACAGAGTAAGAGTAGATTAAGAGAGAGAGAGAGAGAAGAAGAGAAAGAAAGAGAAATGGCGGGAAAAAAGAAAGAGAAAGTACGCAAGAGCATTAAATGCCACTGACTCAATGATAGGCACATCATCACATCAAAAGCAAGACCCTCCATTTCCGGAATATAAACTGTAATTGGCTATTGTCGCGTCCGTGAGTCGGCATCATGTCTGCTAATATCACGTGTATGAATTAATTTGGTGCATCTGCTAAACGATTGTTAGTCTGTAGGCCGTGGGAAAGAATTATACATTGAAATCGTATACTTTTATTTTGACAAAGACATCATTTAAGTCTTCGTGTTATATGTATGTGCGTGTATATATATGCATATATACATGCATACATATTTGATATATATACATATGTGTGTGTGTGTTTGCGTGCTTGCGTGCGTGTGTGGGAACGAGAGATTGGCAGATTGAAAAGTATGTATACAAATATATACATAGTACCATATACATATATGTACACACAGGCTCGTATAGATAGATTGACTGATAGACAGAGAGAGAGAGATGTGTGTGTGTATATATGTATGTATATATATAGAGAAAAAATATATACGTATATGTGTGTATACAGTTACATATACACATATATATATGCATACATACATATATATACATATATATATATATATATATATATATATGTGTGTGTGTGTGTGTGTGTGTGTGTGTGTGTGTATATAGTGCGTGTGTGTGTGTGTGTAAATATATATTCATACATATGTGTGTGTGTGTGTATACATTGTGTGTGTGTGTGTTATGCAAGTTTGTATGTATGTGTAAGAATAAATATACAGTAACTATTGATGTGTGTATGTTTTGTTTGTTTGTTTAGGTGTATGTATGTATATATGAATATGTATGTGTATATATATGTACATATATATACATGTATATATATGCTTGTGTGTTTTGTTTGTCTATTCGCATGTGTGTACGTGTATTTCTGTATAAGAGTGAGACTGAGTTTATATGTGTGCATTGTACATGTGTGCATTTGTATGTATGTGTGTGTGGGTGTGGGTGTGTGTATGTTTGTGTGTGTGTGTGTGTGTATGTTTGTGTGTGTGTGTGTGTGTATGTTTGTGTGTGTGTGTGTATGCAAAGTTCCTTTATGTGTCCAGGTGTATATGTGTGTCTTCCATTATCGACGTAAAATGCAAAATACTCTTGGAATTGACAATAAGAGAAGTCACAAGTTATTTGCCGAAATTAAACTATACAGCAGAGAAAGAGTTACAGGAAGTGGACAGGAAATCGCCATTTGATAATAATTCTTCGCCAATAAAGGTAACCGTGTGGTTAGTACGTGTTGCAAGGGAAAAATTGCAAAGGTTCAAAAGTATTATTCAGTGAAGAGGAAATGAAGTATTAGACTACATCACATCACTGAAACTAGTTATCTTAAGTGATACTGCACTGATTTTTTCCCCTATAGTTTGTGTCATAACTTCTAAATAAGGTGTATGTTTATGCCGGTGTTAAATAGATGTCAAAAGATTTAATTCTGAATCAATATAGAAAAAAAACATTCACATTTAATAACAGTTATATATATTGAATAAATGTATTTTTTAATTCATTGCAATAGAATATATATGTATATGTGCGCGTGTCTGCATAAATATGTCTGCATATATGTGTGTGTGTGTGTATCCTACACAATGGCTGTCGCTGCATAAAACAGTGGAAGCCGTCTAGGGCTGTGTGTACAAGCCAGAGGGCTGGCTAACAAAGGATGAGCCTGAATCATGGCTAACAAAGGATGAGCCTGAATCATGGCTAACAAAGGATGAGCCTGAATCGTGGCTACCGAAGGATGAGCCTGAATCAAACACCTGAATTCCAGACCCAAAGGACTGACTGCCGCTGAAAGAGCTGGAATGGCCTGATGAGCTTACTGAGCCGACGTTTTGACCTGCGCCTTGGCTTGCTGACTGGAGAGCAGTTTGGAGGTCCACCCCGCTTGGAAGAGTTGGGTTCTCTCCGTCCGCGTAGTTGACGAAGTAAACCTCAGGGGTCGAAGGGCCAGAAGACGGTACCTCGATCACCCGCTGGTCTTGGCTGCTCTGCTTGTTCAGAACGTACACCACGTGCTGCTGCCTAGGTGGAGGAATGACCACGGGTTGCGGCCCAAGGCCTCCTTCGGGCGTGCGGATCAAGATGACGTTAGTCTCCACGCGAGGTTCGGGGATGTTAACAGGTCCGCTTGTCTGGACGTTGGAAGGAACGTCGTACAGAAACACGCGACGGTTCTCACGAGGTGTCACACACCTTCCATCCACGTGGCGCACCTGTCCACCTCCACAAGGAGCAAGGGTTAGTCCCGAAGGCGTTCCAGATGAAGTTCCAAAGGAAATTCCCTGTCCAAAGGAAGAACTTCCCGACGAAATTCCCTGTCCAAAGGAAGAACTTCCCGACGAAATTCCCTGTCCAAAGGAAGAACTTCCCGACGAAATTCCCTGTCCAAAGGAAGAACTTCCCGACGAAATTCCGTGTCCAAAGGAAGAACTTCCCGACGAAATTCCGTGTCCAAAGGAACTACTTCCCGACGAAATTCCCTGTCCAAAGGAAGTACCTCCATGACCAAAGCTTGACCCCTGGCTAAATGTTCCCGAATGGCCATGGCTGAACCCTCCGCTTCCTGACCCCGGCAGGCCGTAACCCTGGAGTGTGCCAGCCGCAGCTAGTCCGATGACGGAAAGGAGAATCTGAAAGAAAAACAAAATATTAAAAGTACACTCTATCTATACATTTATATATTTATCACATTTATCCTATATGTAGATATTGATAGATAGATAGATATAGATATACAGTATATATATATTGTATGTATATATACTATATGTTATATTATGCATATATATGTATATATATACACATATGTATGTATATGTACATATATACTGATATTGAAGAAAAGGTAAGAACGAGAAGGAATATCTTTTCAGTACAAGATATGTTTTTGAACGGTTTCGATTATATCTTCGTCAGAGTTACATGTACGTTTGCATATATATGTGTGTGTGTGTGTGTGTTTATGTATATAGTTGGTGTGTGTGGCATGTATTTGACCGTTGTGTGTGATATTTATGCAAATATACACGTATATACATATATGTGTGTGTGTGCACAAACAGAAGTACATTTATATGTATGTGTGCGTATAAGAGAGAGAGTGTGTGTGTGTGTGTGCATTTGTGTATGTATAAATAAAAAAGCATATATGTATGTATATATATATATATAAATACATATATATACGTATCCATCCATATGTGTGTGTGTGTGTGAGAGAGAGAGTAGGAACAATTTGTATACACATGCACACACGCATTCACAGGCATACGTTCACACACACAAACACACATACTCCTAAATGTGATTGTTTTCCACACTTCAAACAGCCCTCAGGAGCACCACTCTCGTTCTTATGGACACCTGACACACGGGCCATTCTCGAGACTCACCAGGCACTTCATCGCGACCGCAGAGGAAGAGATATGAACATCCTTTCCTCTGAACATCTCCCTTTATATATCCTTTCCCTCTTTCCCTCTCTCCCGCGAGGCTAGGGGTCAGCTGAAACTTCCGCGCCGCTTCCCAAGCACCGCCTGCGCTCGGTGCTTTGTCCCTGCTTGGTTGCCTGCTGGGTCAAAGGTCACGACTAAGCGATGTTGTTAAATGTCTTCTTTCAAGTAAATGGCAATGCTTTGTTACTCATGTTTGTCGATCCATTCGTGGGTGCTTTATTTTGAAGGTTTTTGTCGAAATTGGTTACAATAACCTTATCCGGTAGGTGCTAATGCTGAAAGGGAATACATAAATATATATATATATATATATATATATATATATATATATATGTATATATATATATATATAATATATGTGTGTGTGTGAGTGTGTAAATTGTGTATGTATGTATATATATGTGTGTTATATATATATATATATATATATATATATACATATATGTATCATATATATACATGTTTGTTTCTAGGTATAACTGTGTCTGTGACTGCGTGTGTTTTGTGCTTCTGAAGATCTTTGTTTGGCTTTGAACATTTATAAACAATAAGAGAGTTCGCTGTTTCAAGTGTATGGAAGCTGTAAATGAAATAAGGCATTTCGAGTCACAAAATTGAGAGAAAGATGTCACATCCAAATACGTATTCATTTTTTTTTTCTTTCTCTCTTTCTTTTTAACAGACTTTCATATTCATAACATTTCTGCATAATGAGTATTGCCTTGTCTCTTTTGCTCTTCAATTTTTACGTTTTGTTTTGGAATGCACGTTGTATTGTAAATATATGATAAGATGTGTGTCTGTATTTTTGTTAAATGGTTATGTCATTCACAGCTTTCCACACAGCGACCTTTCATGCCTGAAACAGATGAACTGTGAGATCCTTGGGAAATATTCCAATGTATACATACATACACATATATATTTGCACAACTATATACATATATAGATTAATGTGAGTAAATTATATATATATATATATATATATATATATATATATATATGTATATATATAATTGTGTGTGTGTGTGTGTGTAATGTATATATACATATATATATAATTGTGTGTGCGTATACATGTATATATGTATATGTATATATATTTGCATATATGTATGTGTGTATATATATATATATCTTTCTTTATCTATCTGTCTATTTACATATCTGTCTTTCTGTTTGTCTGTCCATATGTTCATCAATTTATGTATATATACATACACACACATACACACACACACACACACATATATATGCATACATACACACACACACACACACACACACAGATACTTGCACACATACACACATATATATGTGTGTGTGTGTGTGTGTGCTCCTTTTCTTTCCTTTCCCTTTCGCCCCCGGATGTATCCAGGTATCTGTCTACCAACATCTATCTTCGTCTGTTTATCTTTCAACTTTCTTCTTAATGCATTTCCGTCCGTTGTAAATTCCAAATTTATGAGTTGTTGTTTTCCTCTTCAATGGAAGGAGACCCAAAACCTTATCAGGATTAGCTAATATTTATTAAAATATTCTGACGTCAAAGGCAAAAAAAAATGTTTTCTTATCTCATACAATTTGATGTGTCAGTATGTACATGTTTGTGTGTTTAAGTATAAAGTGATTTTTTTTAACAGCCATTCATTCCACTACAGGACATAGGCCTCTCTTAGTTCATTATTAAGATGTTATATGGTAGTATCACCCTTGCCTGATCAGATGCCCTTCCTAATCAACCGCGGTTCGGCGCGTTAACTTGTGCCACGGCGGTGACTTCCCTTATAACACCTGCGATTGACTTCTCAAGGCGATATGTCGTTTAATCGAGCTCGAGTCAGCAGTCAGAACGCAGGCACTTTTACGACCACCAGGGACCACTAGGGTCGGAGTCCAGTGCTCTAATTGCTGGAGCATCGCGGAGTTATAGAGTGATATATATATATAGAGAGAGAGAGAGAGAGAGAACTAAATCAGTATTTTTCATTACAAAGAGAAAATAAATACTTTTTGTGTGCATTTTATTTTTTAATCTTAGATGATGTACACCTCTGGAACACATTCATAACATATTATCATTAACCTTTCTTTGCGGCCGATTCTAGTTGCCTCTAACTGTAAATATTTTATATGCCTATTATTTACGTCTTCCCACGAACTTGAGATATAGGGTCTGCACACACGCACACACACACACACGCACACGCACACATATGCATGTGTTTGTGTGACATATATGTGTCCGTATTATGTGTATCATATATGTATGTATACATATATGCATATACATATGCACATATGTATATGTTATAACCAGTGGAAATTCCACGATAAAATGATAACTAATAAAAAATTTCATTCTCCTCCCTGTAGATTCTGTTTCCTCTCTCCCTCTTCCTTCCTTCTCCCTCTACTTTTCCCTCTTGACCTTTCCCTTTATCGCTCTGCCACACCCTCTTGTTACTAAATCTTCCTGAAATTCACCATTCCCTTACCATGTATATGTGTCCACGCATGAGCAGCACGCGTCAGTGTGTGTGCTATATCCGATTTAGTATCCGGCCTAAACCAAAAGAAGCGGAAAGATACAAAGCACACTGGATGAAGCATTATGCTTACGTTTGTGTAAAAGAGGAAAAACAAAACAAAAAAAATGGGTCAAATATAGAGCAAAGCCATGCGAAATGTACATGCTTGGTTAAAGCAATTAGAAAAGTATTTTTAGTAAATTTCAGTGTCATATGTGTCCTATATATAAAGAAACTATTTATTGCAGTGTTCCTGTTAGAGAGAGTAAAGCATTATATCTTTTTTCTTTCTTTTCCCTTTTCTTTTTCTTAAAATTATGAAAAGTTAAAAGACAAACCGTGTATTCATTGACGAATTTCTTTAAATTTTGTTTTGTATTATATTCAAAGTAAGGCGCATAATATTTTGGAGAGAAGTCTATTAAATATATTTATTGATTTCGATTATGGAACTTACAGTAATGTGCATGATAATAAGGAACAAATGCAAATAGAATAATCAGTTATAATAAAACCAACTGAATAGGTGTTCTTAAGACACCTTGTAAAATCAAGGCTGTGTGTACAAGCCAGAGGGCTGGCTAACAAAGGATGAGCCTGAATCATGGCTAACAAAGGATGAGCCTGAATCGTGGCTACCGAAGGATGAGCCTGAATCAAACACCTGAGTTCCTGACCCAAAGGACTGACTGCCGCTGAAAGAGCTGGAATGGCCTGACGAGCTCACTGAGCCGATGCTTTGACCTGCGCCTTGGCTTGCTGACTGAAGAGCAGTTTGGAGGTCCACCCCGCTTGGAAGAGTTGGGTTCTCTCCGTCCGCGTAGTTGACGAAGTAAACCTCAGGGGTCGAAGGGCCAGAAGACGGTACCTCGATCACCCGCTGGTCTTGGCTGCTCTGCTTGTTCAGAACGTACACCACGTGCTGCTGCCTAGGTGGAGGAATGACCACGGGTTGCGGCCCAAGGCCTCCTTCGGGCGTGCGGATCAAGATGACGTTAGTCTCCACGCGAGGTTCGGGGATGTTAACAGGTCCGCTTGTCTGGACGTTGGAAGGAACGTCGTACAGAAACACGCCGGACGGTTCTCACGAGGACCCTGGCCGAAGGTCGTTCCAGCTGAAGTTCCAAAGGAAATGCCGACGAAATTCCCTGTCCAAAGGAAGAACTTCCCGACGAAATTCCCTGTCCAAAGGAAAGAACTTCCGACGAAATTCCCTGTCCAAAGGAAGAACTTCCCGACGAAATTCCGTGTCCAAAGGAAGAACTTCCCGACGAAATTCCCTGTCCAAAGGAAGAACTTCCTGACGAAATTCCCTGTCCAAAGGAAGAACTTCCCGACGAAGTTCCCTGTCCAAAGGAAGAACTTCCCGACGAAATTCCCTGTCCAAGGAAGAACTTCCCGACGAAATTCCCTGTCCAAGGAAGAACTTCCCGACGAAATTCCCTGTCCAAGGAAGAACTTCCCGACGAAATTCCTGTCCAAAGGAAGAACTTCCGACGAAATTCCCTGTCCAAAGGAAGAACTTCCGACGAAATTCCCTGTCCAAAGAAGAACTTCCCGACGAAATTCCTGTCCAAAGGAAGAACTTCCGACGAAATTCCCTGTCCAAAGAAGAACTTCCCGACGAAATTCCCTGTCCAAAGAAGAACTTCCCGACGAAATTCCCTGTCCAAGGAAGAACTTCCCGACGAAATTCCTGTCCAAAGGAAGAACTTCCGACGAAATTCCCTGTCCAAAGAAGAACTTCCCGACGAAATTCCCTGTCCAAAGAAGAACTTCCCGACGAAATTCCTGTCCAAAGGAAGAACTTCCCGACGAAATTCCTGTCCAAAGGAAGAACTTCCGACGAAATTCCCTGTCCAAGGAAGAACTTCCCGACGAAATTCCCTGTCCAAAGGAAGAACTTCCCGACGAAATTCCTGTCCAAAGGAAGAACTTCCGACGAAATTCCCTGTCCAAAGGAAGAACTTCCGACGAAATTCCCTGTCCAAAGGAAGAACTTCCGACGAAATTCCCTGTCCAAAGGAAGAACTTCCGACGAAATTCCCTGTCCAAAGAAGAACTTCCCGACGAAATTCCTGTCCAAAGGAAGAACTTCCGACGAAATTCCCTGTCCAAGGAAGAACTTCCCGACGAAATTCCCTGTCCAAGGAAGAACTTCCCGACGAAATTCCTGTCCAAAGGAAGAACTTCCCGACGAAATTCCTGTCCAAAGGAAGAACTTCCGACGAAATTCCCTGTCCAAAGGAAGAACTTCCGACGAAATTCCCTGTCCAAAGGAAGAACTTCCGACGAAATTCCCTGTCCAAAGGAAGAACTTCCGACGAAATTCCCTGTCCAAAGGAAGAACTTCCCGACGAAATTCCCTGTCCAAAGGAAGAACTTCCGACGAAATTCCCTGTCCAAAGGAAGAACTTCCGACGAAATTCCCTGTCCAAAGGAAG